TGACCAAAGTTGTTGATAAATCCAATGGTGGCATTTTTCTTGAGAGGGTCTTCAATACTGTATATATCCACATTACCTTCGTAGAATAGATAGTGGAACACGTTGACAGCTTCTGCAGCCGGCGGTCCATTTTGTTTGTATCCAAAGATAAGGTCAATCCAATGATGCAGATTAGCACTCACATAATCACATTCTAGAGCCTATTGAAAGTGACGATACAAAACATGGAAATTAAATTCAAATCTGGTTTTCATTTGTTTCATTGGAAAGAAAGAACTTGTTAATGCCATTGGATTGCACCGTGGGATTATGGGATATCATGATTTATCGGCAAAGTAAACTTTTGTTCTATCACAAAATTAACTTGCATCCTTTCCACATTTTTTTCAATTATTTTGATCAAGATGTGTAGTCAATGAAGAATTCTGTTCTATTGGTTCAAAATTAACAAAGAATTTATAGAAAAATACATGAATATCTGCAAAATGATGCATCAACATTTTTTCAGGATCAAACATAGCATTCAAAAGTGTTCAGTATTCTGTCTTTGGGGTCCATTCAAACTTGAAATCAAAGAAAGCTTAGAAAGAACTCCCGTGTGCTGAGAGTTTTGGAGACACATTAAAAATAATTCAAAATTACTTATACTTGATATATTGATGGAATAGCTGAAAACTAATTATGCAAATAAGGTAACTAATATGAACAGATTTAGGTGTAAAACTAATAAGGTCTGCACAATGTACCAAGTTTCATTGGAATGTGATTAGAACCAAAAAAATATTAATTATTATGCTAATTAGAGAATTAATATGAACAGATTTTAACCCAAAATTAATCAGGCTGTCTATTGTCCTAGAGCATTTATGTACCAAGTTTTATTCAAATGTGATGATCAATACTTGAGATATTAGTATTAATTAATTATGATAACTAGGTGATTAAGAAGCATAAATATTTACCAAAAACTAATATGGTGCATAGTCTCAGGTTCATTGAAATGTGATGGGTACTATTTAAAAGTTTCATTGAAATCCAATGAGTGGTTTTTAGACATCAGTGCAACAGCCATAGAACAGCAAAAAATTAAGTAATTATGCAAATTAGGTAATTAATAGGCACAATTTTTTATCTCAAAATTAATCAGGTCTCTGCATAGTCCTAGAATATCCATGTCGCAAGTCTCATTGAAATGTGATGATTAGTACTTGAGATATCAGGTGAAAAGCTGAAAATTAACTAATTATGCTAATAAGGTG